CCAGCACCGCCCGCGCCGCGGCCGCCCTCCTCGCCGGCGCTCCCGTTCGAGCGACGCCGTGTCTGGCGCCCGCGCCCAACTGGGTGCTCCCCCACTGACCCGGTGCCCGCTAGCGCCCATGCCCGTTAGGGCCCCTGATCCCTAGAACGTTTTATAAAAAAGAATTAAAAAATAAAAATAATAAAAACAATTAATTAATTAACTAATTGAAGAATTAATTAACTTAATTAATTTCGATTAATGAAACTAATTAACTAATTAATCATGATTAGTTAGTCTAGTCAATGACGAACCGGACCCACATGTCAGTTTGACCTAGTCAACGCCCTGTTGACTGTTGACGTCATGCTGATGACATCAGCATGCACTATTTTGGATAATGTTGATCTAAAATAAATAAATAAATTCTAAAAATGTTTTAAATCTTTTAAAATTAATATAAAATAAACCGTAGCTCGGATGGAAAAACTTTGTAAATGAAAGTTGCTCAGAACGACGAGACGAATCGGGATACGCAGCCGTTCGTCCGCCACACATCCCTAGCATAGCGATCACGCAACTTTCCCCCATCGATTCATTTGTCCGGAAACGCGAAACACCGGGGATATTTTCCAGGATGTTTCCCCCCTTCACCGGTATCACCTCATACCACGTTAGGGCACACCTAGCACCTCTACTTGTCATGGCATGCATCGTTATGCATCTGTTTGCATTGTATTCGTTGTTTCTTCCCCATCTTCTCTCCGGTAGACTATGAGACTGACGCCGCTGCTGGTGCCCCGGTCGACTATGTTGTCGACAACCCCTACTTGCCAGAGCAACCAGGCAAGCCCCCCCCCTGATCACCAGATATCGCCTACTCTTCTCTCTACTGGTTGCATTAGAGTAGTGTAGCATGTTATTACTTTCCATAAATCCTATCCTGATGCATAGCCTGTCATTGTTGCTACAGTTATTGATACCTTACCTGCAATCCTAAATGCTTAGTATAGGATGCTAGTTTATCATCAGTGGCCCTACATTCTTGTCCGTCTGCCATGCTATACTATCGGCCGTGATCACTCGGGAGGTGATCATGGGTGTATACTTATATACATATTATATGATACCTGTGATGACTAAAGTCGGGTCGGCTCGTAGAGTACCCGCGAGTGATTGACGAATTGGGTCCGAAAGGACGTTTGTCCCGACGGACCTCTGAGTGGATGTTTGTGGCGGAGCGACATGGTAGGTTGAGACCACCTTGGAGAGAGGTGGGCCTGGCCCTGGTCGGTGTCCGCGGTTATTTCAAAATAACACGCTTAATGAGATCTGGGTGTTTGATCTAAGTCTGGCCACTGGCCTATAAACACTAACCAACTACGCGGGAACAGTTATGGGCACTCGACGTCGTGGTATCAAATGAAGCCTTCTTGACGTTAGCGACTGAGCGGCGTGCGCCGGACTGGACTGGAACGTCTGCTCTTGTATAAGGGAGGCTAGGTATGCTCGTCGGCCGCGTACGCAACATGCAGGTGTGCAATGGGCGATGGGCCAAGACCCCTGCGCCATAGGATTTAGACTGGCGTACTGACCTCTCTGTTGTGTCTAGGTAGGGCTGCGACGTGTTGATCTTCCGAGGCCGGGCATGACCCAGGAAAGTGTGTCCGGACAAAGGGGATCGAGCGTGTTGGGAAATGTGGACCCAGGAAAGTGTGTCCCTTGGTAAAAGGACGACCCGGAGTTGTACCTTAACCTTATGACAACTAGAACCGGATAATTAATAAAACACACCCTTCCAAGTGCTAGATACAACCGGTGATCGCTCTCTCACAGGGCGACGAGGGGAGAATCATCGGATAGGATTATGCTATGCGATGTTGCTTGGTGAACTTACCATCTACTCTCTTCTTCTACTACAAGATGGAGGTTACCAGAAGCGTAGTCTTCGATTGGACTAGCTATCCCCTTCTTATTCCGGCATTCTGCAGTTCAGTCCACATATGCTACCCCTTTTCCATTTGATACCAATGCATGCATATGTAGTGTAGTTCCTTACTTGCGAGTACTTTGGATGAGTACTCACGGTTGGTTTGCTCCCCCTTTTCCCCCTTTCTATACCCGTTCGTTGCGACCAGGCGTTGGAGCCCAGGAGCCAGACGCCACCGTCGACGAAGACTCCTACTACACTGGAGGTGCCTACTACTACGTGCAGGCCGTTAACGACGACCAGGAGTTGTTTAGGGGGATCCTAGGCAGGAGGCCTGCACCTCTTTCGATATGTATCACAGTTTATGCGAGCCATCTTATGGAAACTTGTTTAACTTATGTCTGTACTCAGGTATTGTTGCTTTCGCTAACTCGTCTATGATCGAGCTCTTGTATTCGAGCCCTCGAGGCCCCTGGCTTGTAATATGATGCTTGTATGACTTATTTTTTTGTAGAGTTGTGTTGTGATATCTTCCCGTGAGTCCCTAATCTTGATCATACATGTTTGCGTGTATGATTAGTGTACAATTGAATCGGCGGCGTCACACCATGGTCCCCGCTGCCGCCTGAGGTCTTCGGCCATCGCTCTGACCCGCCTGCTGCCGCCGTGTGGCCCCTTCGGGTCATAGCACCGCGGCCTACGGTCCATCGCTGTCCCTGCGCGTCGACTTCCTGTGGTATGTGCCGCACTGCCTCCTTTGGTGTGGGGACGCCATCGTCTGCGCCGGTCTTTGTCATGCTGCCAGGGTTCCTCGCCTACTTCGAGCATCGTCGCCGCGCTCCTAACCAAGCCGCAGCCGCCGCTCTTCCTCGGCGCCGCTGCAGCTCGCTCACCCGAGTCGCGCCGCCAGTCCACCCCCTTCGTCTTCGTGCAGCACCAGCACGTCGCTAGCGTCACCATCATCTACTCCGACCACCTTTGGTGACATCCCCCCCCCCGTCGATTGGCACCGCAACCGTCATCGAGTCTCTTTCTCTGCTGGCCCCTCCAACTCCTTGACATGGCGTACAGCTTGTGCATGTCCCTCGCCTACACATGCCCGGTGCTGGCAACAGCGATGCGTGCCTACGTCCACGACATGTCCTCGGGCCTGGGAAGCCTGGTGCGGTGCTTCGTCACATGCCCGATCCAGACAACATCGACGCTTGCCTTCATCTACGACGTGTTTCCGTCTTTGGCAAACCCGGTGCGACGCCTCGTCAACACCATCCTCCTTCCGGCGCACCACTACCTCGACACCATTGCGCCTATGACTAACACGGCGCCTCCTTGTGCCCGCGGCTCCACAGCGACTAACGGCAGATGCATCTTCCGTTACGACTGTGGAGGGGGGGTCCGTCGGCTTGCCTTCGGATTCTTCTCCAGTTTCACCGTCTGCGTCGCTGCCGTTGTGTTCTGCCTTGTCTTGTACTTCAAGTTGAGCATGTACTTCTATATATATGTCCACGATGCTCAAGCAATAAATAACTACTCCACCAATCCCTCTATCCCTTCTAACACCCTCGAGCCATCTATCCTCCCAGAAATAGGCGTTAGGGCCACTTCCAATATCCACGAACACCACTGCTCTGTATATGGCCAAGGACTCCGGTGGTACAGCTAACAGAAACTCTGTCCAGGGCCGATCCCCGTCTACTCTCCTCAACCAAATCCATCTCGCCCTCAAGGCGACATTCGTCCACTTGAGGTTTGGCAGTCCAAGGCCCCCCAGTCCAGTTAGGAGTGCACACAGTTTCCCAGGCCACAACACAACTGCCTCCGCTCGCACGGTACGGTCTTTAGCAACCCAGAAAAAACTTTTGCAGATGTGTACAATGGAGGCGATCATTTCTGCGGGGACCCCGAAGAGGGGTCGAACTCAGGTCGGCAGGGCAAAGCCCCCTGTCCAACTATCATCCACTAGCACCACATCATCCGCAAACAACATACACCATGGGATATCTCTGTGTATATCCATTGTGACCTCATCCATCACGAGGGCGAAAAGATAAGGGCTCAAAGCTGACCCCTGGTGCAGTCCTATTTTGATCGGGAAGTCATCAGTGTCGTCATCACTTGTTCAAACACTTGTCACAACATTATCGCACATGTTCTTAATGAGGGTAATGTGCTTTGCTGGGACTTTGTGTTTCTCCCAGGCCAACGACATGACATTCCGCGGTATCTTATCGTAGTCCTTCTCCAAGTCAATGAACACCATATGCAGGGCCCTTTCTCCATGTATCTCTCCACAAAGTTGTCGTACCAAGAAAATGACTTCCACGGTCGACCTCCCAGGCATGAAACCAAACTGACTTTTGGTCATGCTTGCCATACTTCTTAAGCGGTGCTCAATAACTCTCTCCCATAGCTTCATTGTATGACCTCAAAATAAATATAACCTCTTTAATTTAATGTAAGATGTTTTTACAATTCAATTTGAACTTATTAACTTTGTATATTTTGTGTCTCCACATTTTTACAGAATTCCCACCATTATATTGTAAAAATAGATAGGAATGCGAACCATACAAGTTAATGATATAATGATAGATTATATGATTATACAATTTACTATACAGCAATGCGTCATCATAATCTAGTAAAACATCTTGAGTGCAACACGTATGTGAACCTTCAGAAATTTGTAAATCGTATCTCTTCAATGTGGAAATATGTATGAACTATGAGCTTAAGGAGATGGAGCGGCTGAAATGCAACTTCTGGAGTAGGTGAAAAATATATATGATAGTGTAGCTTCATTACCGGTTCACAGCCTCCTGACTAGCGAAAATTGAATTTGATTCTTAGGTTCACAAGATGACAAGAACACTCATTTCATTTCTTTACTTCTTTATACAATTAATACAAGTACAACGTTACAACCGGTTACGTAAGATCCTCTATTTTTAGTTGAGTGACATCAGAGGATATAACACACTTCAATATCGTATAATTCTATGGATCTTCGGACTTCTTAGAGAAAGGTAATAAAAGAAACAGAACTTTTCACAAGATCAAGAAAGCCAGGTCTTACAAGGAAGCTTTTATGTTACCAAGGCTTCAAGTCTCCAACAGGCCCAGCTGTCCAGTTGAGATGCTTCTCACCTGGCTGTAAGTATATGGTCTCTGGGTGCGGGAGTTTGCGAGCAAGGCCATTTAGAATCTGATGGAATGCATCTCTAGGTTGCGCTGGCTGCGGGAACAGCATGGCCTTCTTCATTGATGGGTTGGCGAGCAATCTTTGCTTCCTTAGGATATCATCAATCGGAATCGACGTGAGAATTGAATCAAGCTTTGGCACATCCTCCTCATCAACAAAAACACCAATTTCGTCCCAAGGGATTGCATCGGCGAAAGGCAGCACGATGTCGTCAGCTATGATGACTGGAATGCAGCCAAAAACCACAGCCTCCACCAACCTAGGACTCCATGGCGCCCACCCCAACGGGCATAAGCAGAAGACGGAGCGCTGCATATCTTCATAGTAGGTGGCAGGGTGTTCGGTGGAGATATCAAACAGAGGATTATTCTTGAAGTTCTCCCACAATGAAGCTCGAGCACCTCTGCATAACAGACTCGATAAAGTTAGTGATAGAATCAAATATCAGTAGCAAGATATGTATCGTCTCTGGGAGTATTCTTACCTTGCGTAATACCCACCCTCAGGGTCGTTCCCATTGTCATAGAACAAACCTCTGAAGTAAATGAAGATTGAACGGGGTGTATCAGGAGGAATTAAGTGAGCCTGCATTTTCTGTGGTGGCGCAAATGGTGGTATAGTAATAGATCCCTCTTTCAAGCAAACATGATTCTTCTGTCCAAATGTTTGAACCAATGTAGCACGGTGTAGCAACGGAAGAATTCCACGCGCAATAGCATTCTCTTCCTACAAAGACAAATGGCCACTACACATATAAGTTCAGAACAAATGGCTGCTGAAGCCTGGTATACCGGCTCAAAGTTTTACTGTTAGTGAAACTAAATCGTGACCAGCTGTAGTAGTACCAAGAAAAAGGAAGGTACGAAGCAGGTAAGGCGATATACCCTTACCTGATAGTGAAAGCATGCCGCAAAATCATGTGGAGCGACAAAGAAATGATCTCCTCCATCAGTTCTATTCCAGAAAGGCCACCTCTTTGAAATGAACTGGATCGCGCTTCTCATCATCCTTGGAGACTTGAACGGTAACGGAAGTCCAGCACGAGTTAGATCACAAGTAGTGTAAACAGGAGCATAGAACCAATCGGCCTCTTCAGGATTAACCGTCCTCACTGCACTAGAGAGCAAGAAACGGTGCATGAATATCTCAGCGGCAAACATGTGGTTGAGGCATCGGGGATCCTTGGTGACAAGCCTCTTGTTGTACTTGCTTGGCAAGTCGTAGACGAAAACCTTCAACTTGCCAACAGGATTGTCTTCTAGAACATCACCAGCACTTCCTGCAGGTCAATGATGTTGGTTGAGTAGAAGAACACAACAATCTCCACATGAAACGGACAAACAGAGGAGACCAATCATGTACTCCCTCTGTTCCGAATTACTTGTCGCAGGTATGGATGTATCTAGATGTATTTTAGTTCTAGATACATCCATTCCTGCGACGAGTAATTTGGAACGGAGGGAGTAACTATAATGAACCGAACAGGCTAATAAGTAACTAATGATGTGGGAAAAATCATGTGTACATACGACAACTAATGGTGTACCGACGAAATGCGAGTACATGAGGGAAGTCCATTTTCAATAAAGCATTTAGACATGATGCATCGCTCAGAAAAGTATATCATATCATCATCGGGTATTATTGGCCAACTACCTATCCTACAACTGCTCCATTAATTGGACCTTGGACGCATGCATGGGACATATGCATGAAGCATAATTTTTATATAATCATACCACGATGCCACCACTCATGGTAGCTGAGCGGGACGCTGTCAGTGGCATTACTCAAGAATTTCCGTTTGCAGGTCGTGCAGGCAGACACGCATGCCACTTGACAAGAAGGAAATTCAGAGTCCCAAACTAATTACACTATCAAATACAGTACTAGCAATCCCCTATTAGTATATTACACGATTGAAAGTTGAAACGCGACAAGGGAAAAATCCCAACTGGGGAACTGAATGACTCCACAATTTAACAAATTATTTGCACGCTCGCGATTCACGACCTAACAATCAGAACTCATCACCAGGGCAAGGCAGAGCAAGGGGAGGTCACCTGAGATGCGCTCGGTGTTCCGCTGAGCCTCCCTCCCACTCCCATCCAGCTCGTCGACGGCGGCCGCCGGCGGTAGCAAGAGAGGGGAGAAGCAGGTGGCCACAAGGAGTGCCGCCACAGGAAGAAGCCGCCCATGCCTCGCGCCCACCATGGGCGCCAACTTGCTCGGCTAGGTAGAAAGCAGAGGCTTCCCCGAGAGGCGGGGAAGAAGATGCGGGAGCGGCCCTTTAATCAGGGGGGAGGGGAGGGGGACGGAGAAGATTGCTGGAGTAGGAATGAGAGGGAAGAGGAAGAAGAGAGCGAAACCAGGGGTTTGTTTTGTTGCTTGCGATGACAGAATTCTGGAGCGGGGGGAATGGACTGGGTCAAGGAACACGTTTGACCACAACAACCGCAACTACGAGTTAGGCCGTTTTTTTTTTTTTGAGAAATACGAGTTGTGCCAAATGGTCGCTTGAGACTAAACGCGCGCAAAGAGCCAAACACCCGTTTTTATCCGTCGTCAACGCATTTCCAACTCAAATTTGAGCCGCATTTGCGTCGAGATGGACAGCGCCTGTATGGGCTGGACGCACGTCCTTGTTCTCCACTGCTTCTCCTGTCGGGGACACAATGCTCCCATTTTCTCTCTCATTCCCCAAAACCCTCCCGCGCTCCCCCTCCCCTCCCTCCATGGCCGGAGCCCCGAAGAAATCTGCCGACCCAATCGCCACCACCACCCGCCCCGCGGCGAAGAAGAAGAAACCGCGGTCGGAGCTCACGCCGGCGGAGATCGCACGACTCGACATAGAATCGGCCAAGAGAAGGGCCCGATGGACCATTCAGGCGAAGAAGATAGCCGCTATCGACCTTGCCCTGGAGGTCGCGGCCGCGTAGCACAGGGCGCCGTCGAGGACAACGAGGCCATTGTCGCCAAGGTCATGCAGGCGGCGACGACGCACGACCTCCTCGTGCTAGGGTTGTGCTGACCCGCACCAACCATTTTCTCCGCCGCAGCCATGGCCGCAGCGAGCAAAGGCTCGTCGGTCGTTCACCCTCCGCAGTACCAATCGTCGGGCTCCTTCAAAAGGAACAACCCGGAATTGCATGTTTAGGGTGGTTCTTTTTCAGGCTGGCAAGGATGCCGACCGCTGGCTTTATTACCGGCGAAGAAACTTAGGGGTAGTTCCTTTTAAAGGTTGGCATGTGTGCCGGTCACTAGTGCTCTGGCCGACATGAATTGTGGCCACTGGCATGAACTACGGTCGTGATGCCAAAATTTCATGTATCCCTTCGCAAGAAATTCCAGGTGGCCGGACGAAATGCATCCAACCGTTGGGCCCACGGCCAACGTAAACGTAGAAAAGGCCGAATACCGCCACTTTGCCCGACCCAAACGGATAAAACAGACGTTCGTTTGGAGTCGTGCGCTGGAGTTGGCCTTACATTTGATGTGCACGAACATTTTTTGTACTGTATAAGGGCACTTTCAGTGTAGTGGACAGGAAGTATCATTGGAATATGAAGCTCCTAGAAAATAAGATGTCATGTATATCTAATTTATATTCTGTGAATAAAAATAGAAAAGAAGTATATGATTTTTTCATTGAGTCTAGATTGATGTTTATTTTCCTCTAAAATATGGAGGATATGAATAGTTCCTAAGTAGGACTAAAATTATATTCGTACAAACCAAATAACTCTAGGAATTTTTCGTATAGGAATCCTATCCTATAGAATTCCTCCAAATCAAAGGAGGCCTAAAATATTATAGCTCTACCTTTTTCTCTTCTTGACTCATGTTTCCACTTTTGTTCCACTCATCATGTGACACAAATGGAACGGGCATGAGAGAATCTACAATCAGACCCTTCACTTCCCCCAACCGCTCAAACCGAAAAACGGCACCCAGTTGGACCTCCAAAGCCAGTCCATACACATGGGTTGTTTGACACCACATATATATATGGGCGGTCCACCCGGACGTGACAGTCACCCTCAGACATGCTCTAAACCCCTACAAATTGACCAAGTCCACTAAATCGGCCACCCTCCCTTCCTCCCGCCTCTGTCCCCCCTTTCCCGCATCTGTGTCATCGCCTTTTACCACCCTTGCCCCACTTTTGCCCTGTCGTCCTAACTGTCGACGCACAATACGTCGCCCCCACCACCATGGATGATGGCCCAGCAGAGTCCATTGAGGTGCCTATTGTGCAAGGCTTAGACCGTAGCCCGGAGGGAGGGGCATGCCTGCGAAGTAGCAGAGAAGGATGTTGCGTTGAAGGAGGTCGTCGACATGGACTTCCTCGGGTTTGCACCATGCACCCTTCCCATGGGACCCGCCTGTCCCCATCATGCACCCTGCCCGTGAGACCCGCCCTCAGCCACAACCTCAGCCGACTCTGTTTCGATCTCGCAATGGTTGTGCACGTCGGATGGCTTGACGCATATGGAAGAGGATGGCATGGAGGACAAGATGTACAAGTCGCCACAACTCCAATTATTGCGGACAACGTCGTGAGTCACCGGCGCTGGGCATGCCCACGTCACATTTGATTAAATTCTGGACCTAGATACAGAGGTATTTTCTTGCCTCGTATGCATTTTCGGATCAAATGTTGGGATGATTGCCTCATTGAGATGCATCTTTTAGGACACATTCATGGTGAACTTGATATATGATGGTTAATAAGCTTCACATTATGACTTGGGTGATACCAACTCCCCTTCGTTTCATGTTGGGTAAAATCGGGCACTGAAAAGAAGAAGACAACGAAGGCACGATGACTAACATTCAGAACCCATGAAGATGTGTTGTTGTGTCAAGCTTGGTTGGCCACAAGCATGGATCCTATTTGTGGAACTAAGCAAAAGGGCACAAAGCATTCGCGAAAAAAATCACAAACATGACCATGAACACAAAACATTATGCAGAGCCAATTGCTATCCATTCCACTCGCAATGAGGGCTCTCTCCAACATAGATGGCCCACCACCCAATAGTCAATGAACAAGTTTTGTGATTTCTATGCACAAGCGGTTGGCTAGAACCAAAGTAGCGTAGGAATTGAAAGTCATGTAAGTTTGACTTTCTTCAGATTGTCATAATTTGTATTGCTTTCTTCATTTCTTGCATTATCTTAAGTGATTCTTGTTTTCCAAATGGGGTTGGCCGCCCCTTTTACCAACACATTGAGGAAAAAACATTCACTATGTGTCTTGTTGGTTGAAATTGAATGGAAACCTAAGTGGCAAACTCTCTATAATGAGCTCAAGAACTCCACCAATAAGATGAAGAAAAACGATGACTCAAACTCTCATCAATCTATTGGATTGGATGACAATGATGTGCCAAGTGGAGGGGCGACCGGAGATGGGACTGTGACAAAGAGGGAATGTGGGGTGATGGGAAAGAAGTAGGAGAAGGAGAGGGCCGCGCATGGCAACGGGATAAGCAAACTGTCTGCCACATGGACACACATTTTTTCCACCAAGGGAAGAAGAAGGAGGAGAGGTACAAGCTCTTCTTGGATGTGCAAACGGATAGGATGTTGTTTGACCGAGAGAGGGTGCGCGAGAGGTTGAACATTGAGAGGGAGATGATAGACATGGAGAAGAAAGAGAAATGGGCAAAATGGGAGATTGAAAAGGCCAAGGCATTGGAACCAAATGAGATCGAGAGAAGTTGAGGCTCGCAAGGGACTCGGAGGAGTCGGGGATCATATTGCATGACACTAGCCTCTTGGATGAGAAATCAAGAAGTGATTTGACAACAAGAAGGAAATCAACAAACGCAACAAGAGAGTCGACTGATTCATTTATGTATCACCTATGTATGAATTGTTGAATTTTATTTCGGCTTGTGTTGAATTGTTGAGTCATGTTTTACTTTGATTGTTGAACATATAACTTGTGTAATGCATCACAATTAATTATTCACATATTGTTTTAGAATAGTTCACATACTTATATGGTTATCATCATTAAGGTGGTTTGTCTACAATGCTCCCAACCCCGTCATCGCACCACCAATATAGTAATATGGTCAAACTTTATTAAAGAAACAATAGGAAATTCTCTAGCCCAACTTTTAGAGAGCTCCCACAGGTGACGGGAATAACATATTTGGACACATATAATAAATGTTGGTGTATTGAGCATGTTTTTGTTTTGAAAAATTTGAAAGTCACATTTTGAACTTTCATTTTTTTGTTGAAAAAATCCACATGTTTATGTGGATATATACTACATGTATTTAAAGTTTAATTTTGATATATGTTAACATGTGAACTACAACAAAAAATTCATAACTTTGATAATGGTGAACAGTACATGCATTGTTCATTATTAAAAATTCACAAAATTTTCATTTTTGTGTAGCTCACATGTTAACGTATTTCATCGTGAAACATTATACACTTGTGGAATGCATCCATATGAACATATGTAGAAAAACCTATGATTTTTTTCAAACTTCGAACTATGGTTTTTGATATTTTTAAAATGCAAGCTCCCAAATGCCTCACTTGCAAAACCTATCAAGATAAACAGGAATGAAATTGCTAAATTAGCAATAATAAGCAACCTTCCAAAAAGTGCTACAATTTTGGGAAAAATAACCCACTCATATGCACATAAGTGAAATTCCACCCAAAAGAAAGTTTGAACAAGTTCCCCCCAAAACGGAAAAATCAATAAAATAATGGTAACAATAATTCATTTCAGCACATGGTTAGCATGCACGTGCACAATGCAATACAGTAAAAACTCTTACAACACAAATCATTATAACATTCCTACATCAGAACAACAAATAGGTAAGTGGCTTTATTTCACTCTTTACGAATATTTTCCCCAGCGCCTACTAGTTCCCAGCTAGCAACTACACATCAGTTATCATTTTGTCCTTTTTCCTCCGCCTTCTTACCAAGCTCCAGTATCATATTGGGAGAGCACCTCGCATCATCTGGGGTCGGATGAGGGTTGCCATTGATTCTAATCTCAAAATCAGGGCATTTCAAACGTACTTGGCCGAAGTGCATTCCTAAAAAGATAGGAGATTGACTGGTGAATCAGTGCTCGAAAAAACAATTTGTGATTATGAATGAGAGAAGATGGAACTAAATCAAACAATAGTTCCGGGTTATTGCTAGGTGGAGATCTATTTAGTTCT